TGACTACCCAGCCATCTTACATTTGATTTGCACTTCGCCTTACCAGAAACATTCTCTAGATATACGTCATACTTACATTAGCTTGTCTATAAATTGATAAGGGAAAAGTAAAGGCCAAAATAATTTCTTTTCTTTTCTGATAAGTACAACATCACCTTAGCTTCCATCGTGGTAAAATTATTTTATCATTTAATCGTTAACAAACACTCGGTAATTTTATATTGAAAAGCTTAATTGTCTAACTTTACGTTTATGATAAAGGTAAAATAAAGGACGCCTGAAGACTTACTAAACTTTCTTTCCCCTTTGACAAATAATTATTATTATCCTACCTACAATAACATCAATTCAAAATTTATTTGACGTGAACTTCGGGAAGTGAATCGAGCGTCACGCAATTGTCAAATGTCGATTGTTGTACCGGAGCGGTCCCACGCTCCGAGAGCGCGGTCTAATAACCCGAGGTCAAGTCTTGGCTCATGCATATTCACAGACGACGGTGAAGTCGCCGGTGGCTCATCTGTAACGGTCCTGCGACCGACCGGTTGTATGAGCTCATTGTTGCATGTGCCCACATGGTGGTCGCGGCCGTCCTACTCGTCCTGCGCCAGCGCCGCCACTTTTGCAAACTAACACGGAATAATGAGTGCTTATGATATAATGCCACATATTAACATTGTTGGAACAAGTTTTTTTACTAGTTAATACCATGTCATGACCGATCTCTATCAATGTAATCAAGAGAATAAAGTTATACCGGTTACGCAATTAATAACACGGCCAATAATTGGCCCTTGCGTTATTGACAGTTCGCACTAGTGAGAACAAAATTCTTGTGCGAATTACATTATACCACTTTTTACTGTCGAGTGTTGGGTTATTAGGAATTACAGAGCCAGGGTCAGTTGTTAAACGGCGTCGGTATAAATTATTTATATTATAATTAGGTGCCAGCAACACTATAAGGGTGCATATAATTTGAAATTCGTTTTTCTTTGCATGTAATATTATGACATTATTTCATTGAAATAAACGGATATATGCGTAGGCGACAAAACCCTTGTTATATTGCGAGCGTTTTTGAATTGGCCACCTGTTATTTTTTTAATACACGCAGGTGATGGATTACTCCCTCCGTTGTTCGTTTATTTTGTTATTGTGATGGATTTATTAGACTAGTTTTCGTTTTTTGTTGTCAGTAATCGATGCCTGGTTATGATATTCACTCGTCAAACATTTTCCAATATTTTGTTTGCGTTGCTCAATGGCATTGACTGTTTAGTTTATTGTTATATTAAAAAGCAATTTCCTTTTTTACAAATTGTCATTTGACTATAAAATTTAGATTGGTCATGTTTTTACTAGCCGCTCTCGCCCGTGAGCCGTATCGAATTTGTTCAATGTCGATTCTGAACCGGAACAAAACACCACGTTGCGTCAGATAAAGTAATTCGAATACGTCTCGATTTTGATTCGTAGTAACCGATTATAACTAAACCATTACCGACTGTGTTAAACATTTCATTTTCTTTAGATACAGTTATATATAGTATGAAATTGTGTCCCCATTGTTTTGTCAAACTTAATCCAAACGTCATAACTTAAGCATTTCAAATCAAATTTTTAAGTTATACTTTTATACCTAGAAATCTGTCAGACGTCGGGATCGAGAATCTTCCTGTACTTATACAAAACTACGTGCAAAAACTTGATCGTGTGACGTGATCTTTTAATAAGTAACAGTATAACAAAGATAATGCAGCAATGCACATTACATTTTGAAGCATCATTAAATGGCGCATAACACGGGCCGGGCGCGTCGAGAGGCAATTAAAAAAGAACTGCTAAGACGAAGCTCGTAAAAATGAAGTCGTGTTCTCAACTGATTAAAAAGTCTGCTCTAATCTTGTGCACGTTAAATTTTTAATCAAATTCGTTTATCTCGAACGACCTTAGCGCCTTATCTGTGACCCAAAATGCCACTCATAAAGAGATAATTAACTTGTACGCAAAAAGTATTTGAACAGATCTGCAGCACTGCAGGTCTGTCAGATATTAGCAACAATGTAAAATATTGACTGCAAGCGATTTTATGTTACCACACTCAGGGCAGGATCGAAGTTTCACAGATAATTCCAGCTTCGGGATTTGCTGCCGAGATCTATCAATTAACACGCAAACTCCATCGGCTTTCAGGTGAATGTCAATTAATGTCAGAGTCTGAGGAGCGTCGTCCGTAGAGAGAATATAAGAGCTGCTACACCGATAGATAGTGCGATCGCCTATCAACAAGTATCTTATGCGACAGCTACGATTAAATTACCATATTAATATAACTCGTAAGTAGCTTGATTATATCGTCACTTTTAAAGGCAGTCAACATGATAAAATGATGAATTTATGTAGAAACAACAGCACCAGAAGGCCAAATGTGGCATAAAACTCGGATGTACAAGATAATCTTACTATTGTTCTCGAGTTAGTGAGGTATAAGGCAGACTAAATTACTTGTGATAGGAACTACGGCTGTTACTTTAATGCGCTTTATTTGTCCGTCGAACAATATCAACTTTATATTTTATCATAATTGAATGTAAAGTATCAATTCTTAATATGAAGCTAATCTTAATTTCTATCTGTATAAGTACAGCTGCGTATAGTTAGTGGAAAGTAGAGCGAGCATGTAGTGGCAAACAATATGATATACCCTTCATGAATAGTGATGGATATTGCACATCCAGCCATTTACATAGTGGTACCGACAACCTGATTGATTGATGGCGAGTGACTCTTACTGCTTGTTATCAAACAGTTAATAAATCAACCGTTCCTCCTTGTTATTTATAGACCTATTTATATCCAATAAGATGTTTGCTCTGAGTACCTTGTGTGAAAGGGAATGTTGTATCAAACAATTTTGAATTCAGACTTGTGAACTTAAAGATCATTGTTAATATTTGTCTATAGTAAGTTCTTGTCAATGCAAGCTTATGTACGATGACTTCTTACTCATTACTTTATGTAGTTATATTAACTTAAAGTTTGTATAATTGTCTCTTATATAAAAATGGATCGCAAAATGTGTTGGTAAGCACATAACTCAATAACGCCTGGACCAATTTTGCTAATTCTTTTTTGTTGTGTTTGTTATTGTCAGCAGAAGGTTCTTATCAAAGAAATTTTAGAAAAGTAGAAGGGAAGATTAGGAAAAAGGCCGCTAGCAGTTTATAGAATTATGAACATTTTCTGATATGTTTTTTTTACTTTGTATTTGGTGGAAAAAACGGAGTCTGACGTGATTTTCAAATCTAAATTAAAGAAAAATTCTACGCGATAGTTTTATTAGAAGTATGATAAAAATTGGTGCAGCGGTTCCGTAGTTATAACAGCGAAACTGACCCAACTTCGTTTTATATTTAGATAGAAAACAGACATTACAATAAATCCTTTAAAATGTTACATCGTTGAAACTATAGCCGGATTAATGTTTGTCAGTTCCAAATGCTACAAAGCGTTAGACGATGTTGCTATAAATATTGGACAATAATGATGCAAAACATTCGCAGTACATATGTACCTATGTAAAGTTATATACAACCATTAGTTATAGGTAGAACTTCTTAATGTTGTTGTAGTAAAGTGATTTTATGTATTTCTCTAAAGAAAGTTGATTTAGCTTACACGGTTAATCCACAGAAACATTTTTGTTATCTTTTATTTGTATTTTGGCTACCCTCGGTGACGTCGCAGTTCAATAACATCCCAAATATGTTTATCCTATGATATTTAGGATAATGTGATTAACTGTTTTGTGGCCTTTATGTGCATCAGGTCAAAGTGATTTAGCCAAAGCAGCTGTGAGCTTTAAATAGATGATTTAATTAGAGTTTGCAATGTTTGTCAAAATTGCATGAAATAGATCTTTCGTAATAGCATAACATTATCTGTCACAAAGTTTGGCTGTGTAGCGTGCACCCACCGCGCAGTCTCGTTTACGTTTACCCACCAGAGTTGATATCACAGTTGCGAAATATCGTCTGCGGTTACAATAATATCGCTTTATACATATTTAGAAACCTGCACAGGTCGGTGCAGTGTTATTCAATCTGCGACCTATTTGTGGTCAATCGCCGTACGAGACCGTCTCAACCGCTCCGCCGTGTCCACGTCCACCAAACCTGTTATTTGCACTTGCATGTGACGTCGTTACACTTACATGCTTGTTAACTTTACAAAAATATATTGTGATGATAAGCGAAAGATACAGCGTTCTAACTCGCTTAAGTTAATTAACTATTTTAATAAGCAATCATTATTTTAATCGCTTCTCCCGTCACGGTTACCGCTTTAATTTGTACATAGTTTCATAATGTACTTGATCACATTCTGTATTATTTCAGTTTAGTAGCTGAACACGGTAATATTCATTTTCTAATTTATACTCTTTGTTTGATGGCACACTGATGAACTGGTTTAAAATCGTACGGTTACATGATATAACTTATGTAATCAGTACCACCCTACATAAGTTTTAATCTGCTATGAACATAAAAAGGACTCTAAGCTCAAATAAATATTGAATCACTTCTTCATTTCCGAGCTTCCGGTTGACGAGGACTGGTACGTCGAGCCTAATAAGTGGGTCAAGTAACCCTTTAGCGTGTAGAGGAGTGAGAGCAATCACACGCGCCGCCCGCCTAATTGAAGTCCAATGTCGCGCGGCCCGCCCACGGTGATTGATACCGCCCAGACCAAGCCGGCTTCTAATTCGATTGTGATATTGTTTGGACGCGCTACGGCGTCACTCCCACGAGCCAGAATCTAATCTGTACGCACGCGGATGATGTCATCCCGAGACAGCGATCGCTCGATTCATTTCGAGTGGCCGAACGAGATACGCTCTGGGGAGATTGATGAGTGTCCGTTAAAGTGTGTTGTATCGTTTTGTCACCGTGAAAATAAGAGCTTAAGCAGGCATGGCTGAAAGGTGGTGGTGGGGGTTAATTAGTCGCGCCATAGCCATCAATATCCATTAGCGGCGCCGCACGCGACGCTCCACGGGCGAGTCGCGCCGCCTCGCCGCCGCCGTCGTCGCCGTCGCCCTTGACGATTGCCGATATTACTTGTGTGTCGATCCACGATAAGGGTTTGCACTTCCGTCTCAGACCGCGGGCTACTACCGAAGTGGAGCAGACTTGGTGACTCGCAATGTTGTCACTAAAACAAACAACTTAATTAATGCACATATTGATAAAGGAATACAACTATATTGACTATGTATTATGTAAGGTACATTGCCTTTTGTACCATTTGCATAACAGAACAACTTAGTCCTTTCATTTATTAGATTATACTATACAAACTATTTGTTTTGCGTGACTTTCACGTAACGATTACAATTCAGAATTTCAAACTTTCCTTAAAATGAATCCGTTATAAAATTGAAGTAATCGGGCAAAGAGCACGGCCCTGTACTTGTTGGCTAACATAATAACATTCAAATACAAAGGCACGACGGCTTTTATTAAAATATCAAATATTGTTTGAGCGTGCATCGAGCCCACTCCAGTGATCCGATATAATTCGAAACTTCACCTTACCGGCGATACTAGTAAAGGGTTGCCCTCTGCCCTAATCTTTGAACTACGACTTGACCGTTAATACGCATTTATAATTTGCTCTTCGATTATTTAGTACGGTGGAATGGTACACCGAGATACGAATAAATTAGTTTCGTGTTTTGAACAAAGCCGGCCCAAAGTTTTGAGTAACGGTCACAGGATCGTTGTAAGAGTTAAACTTATTCCTCTATCTGTTGGTTTAGAGTGCTTTATTGGGATCCGTCTTGTTGTTTTGTTTGGCCAACTCACAATTAAATGCCGTTTCATTTGCTCTTACAAACGAAAGTGCACAATTTATGAGCTACCATTTGATGCCAATTTATACTGAAAGTATTGTTTTCTAAAACTATAGACATTTAATTAGATTTTAAATAATATAATTATAGCAACTGCAATTTTTAACCGATTTTTTCTATCCAAATGTACCCCACATTTGGATAGAAAAAAATCGACAAAAGACACTTATAAAACACTACTCTAAATCACTTTGCAAGTGAAATAAAGTAACATAACGATTATTTTAATTCGTTTATAAAACGAGTTAAAAAGTAGTTGACCGGAGTCCCCTATGATTGAACTACGACCGCAGCACATTCGGCTAATCGGGTCCCCCAGACGGTCGCGACCCGCAGGTGTAAAGTCGCCCTTACTTAGGCTGCAGCTTCACCTCATTTGCATAGCCAAGGTATCTTATGCACTGTGCATGCACTCGCTTCTCACTTTATAATTCAAATGATCCACACGAGCGCGCCTGAATTCGAGGAAATGTGAGAATTTGTAACGGAATTTTAGCAGCTATTTAAAGTGAGAGTTTCTTTGTTCTTATCTAAAGTCCCAATTCATTTCGTAATGCTCTAGCTATTAACTTCGTTTTAAATAAGCCACCAAACATTGCGGTTATTTGCATAATTTGGAAACAAAAATGTCATGTCATAAACATAATAGTATCATTCTATTAATCGTAACGATTTTTGTACGAGAACTGGTATCAGAGTTAGAGTTAAAACAAAAGAATAGTTATGGTTGTTAAATAAGAGGCTGGTGCATCGTCGGCGCAACAATCACCGTGACTGGATTTTGAAAGGCATCCTTTGTTGAAGTTTCAACTTCTAAACGCTTTGGAGTGCAGTTTGTGAGAGATCGTGTTATGACGTAAAAACGTTTATTTAACTTTGTTTAGCAATTACGCACAAAAGGTCGGTGGCTGCACTGGTAATGTACCATTACGATTTGAAGAAAACGTTCAGTACACTAAAGTTGCGCACTCGTGCTAACTGCTAACCACGGCGGCCTTGCCCCGGAGTAATCAAATTAGATACATGACGTCATGGTATCCAGCACCATTATGCTAATTAACACAAGCGGTGATCTAAACATCGACAGACGATAGATGCTTCGACGAAATCACCTGGCCTTCTGACGGTTGCAAATAAATGTAACATGCTTGTGGCGCGCGACGCGCAGACAAGCAGACACATTGTATCTTTTCAACACAAAAAATAAAATAAACATTACTCTCATTTATTTTAAAGTAATCCCTCTTTATTTCTTTTATAACAGATTGCGAAAATTTACTGACCGGAATTATTAAGTTAATCTTCAATCTCCATTGCGAAGACGTAACCAGTTTAAGTAATAATGGTGCCGGATCAAAGCAATATTTTTGAAACATTATGACGGTACGGTCGACCTGGCGGGAGCGCGTAGGTTGTATCCAGCCAAGTGGTAACTTCCTTCATTACGTCACTCTAGTGATTCACGCAATTTGTTCCATAAGATGTAAACACTGTTTTGGTTAAAGTATTGAACTACGACCTCGCACTTGTCTGCCACTTGGCCTCGCTTCGTGTCCTTGCTAAATCTAAATCAGACACACGAACAACAAAGCTCAGTCGCTATTTACGTATAGATGTCTATGATAAATGAAACTAGGTACGTTTTATTTAAGTTTTGTCTAGCTTTATCGACCGTACATTCGTCACGCTAATCTTTCAAGCGGGTTTTTGTGTGCTTCTAAATAAATAACCGCTCGACTGTTTAATGGAAATAGTCAAGTTCCACAACCATTACACGAAACTGATTGCAAAGAAACATGAACACAAATCCAAGCTCAGAACAATATTACGATTACGTCATTCATAAAGTAAGTGCATTTATGTAGGGAGCGAGGGAGCCATCTTTGTGCGCCTCCGCTGCGGGCCGCTGCTTGTGATATGAAAAGCAGTTTTCTGTAGAGTAAATAATAGAGCGACAGTGAGAAGGCCTCGTACATCCAGTCCCGTGACAAGTAACGTGTCCCAGGGTAACTTTGTCCCATGCTCACACGATACATTCGAGCCTTTTGAACATATCTTAAGTGTATTCTTGCGACGCATTTAGACAAACTGTTTGCTTTACTACTTTACAACGTTACATGAATTATATGCAATGCTATTACATTGCATATAATTCTAATACTCGATACAAATTAAGTTATCATAATATTCGTCTTATGTGTCCTTGTTATTCATAAGTTGGTTTAATGAGTGTTATTTTGCTAGAACTCCTTGCGCGGTACGTTGAAATTCCACACACAATTCAAGCAACATGATACCATAAGTAAGTATACCCAGACGGCTAATGAAACTTCGCAAAGCCAACACGAGACCGCGCTTATTTAGAGACGACGATGTCGAGCAGATGACGCCCAAACAAATCTCAATATCTGGCATATGGTATGAATATTTAGAGCAGGAGAACGCATCGAGCGTTTCTCTGCACGGCTATAAGACATCGAAAATAGATTGTGCGAATGGGGTTAGACGCACCTGTTATTTGGCTTTCGGGCGGGTGCGGTGTCGGGAGCGCGGGGTGGCAGATTCATTAATAATGGCCCACAATGAGACGCCATTATTTACGAGTTGCGGTAGCCGAGTTGAACCGCATCGCACATAGCGCGATGCTCCTAGCTACTCCCTATCTGGTAACAACAACGTATCTGACTCAGTCTTCGTGGAATTATATTCGATTAGCAACAAAAAACTCCGACAAAACCTCATACGTTACTTAACAGGTAATGTGTACATACATAAGAGTACGCCCCGGCTGGATACTAGTTTTTGTTATACTGTCTCATTTGATCGATATTCAAAGAGCTTATATTTTCACAATTGAGCATCTAATAAGCTCTATTAAATCCACCTCTAGGCTTATACATATACGGCAGTCTAAACTACAGTTTTGGACAACATGGCCATATTTGCTGCATCAAAAGCAGGTATATTAGTCTCGACTCATGTTAGCGTGTCCAACGGCTTACGTTTCTCAGTATGGCGCGGCCATTGTATTGTTAGAATATTTGTAATTTTTGAATCTTGGCTATAAAAACAAAAACCAGAGTTTAATTTAATCATACCAATACTCATTATGCTCCATTTCTTTCTTATTAACTTACGTAAATGCTTACCAAGTTCTAACAAAAGAAGCATCAAAAAATTCGACTCTGTCAATTTCATGATTCACAAATCTTAATATTGCGTCTATGATAGATTCTAAGAGACACGATGATTGGCGTTTTATAACACAAAGGATCTTTTGTGCTCATATATTTTTAATGTTTATGACTCAACAGCTTTTTTGTAAAACAGTAAAACGTTTTATAAAAAAAAAAAACATACTACTAGTTTCTTTGTTGGGTGTTATGTAAAACAACGTTTACATCGTACTTTACAAGATAATATTTCTTTAAATACGGCGCAGGTTTGTCTGCAACTATTAACGAAATACGATTTCGGAACAAGAAGGTGTTATAACCGATCAAATAAACAAAGAGCCATCGGACTATATTCGTGCATGAACAGTCAGATAGTCTCACTAGAGGCGGTGAGATGAGGTAAGCGACCTTAAAAGCCACTTAGCACAGTACGCTCTCCGCGGCGCCGCTCACTGCGTTTCTTATTACTTAGCGAATAATTCGGGTAATAACTAGCTACTCCGAGTCCGCTCTTACACTTGACTCCCACCTTACATGTAGCTGCCGACATTTTAGTATTCAAACTATGTACAGCATATAGCAAAACAAATAAAACCTCCTTGCTTGCCTCTTTACATTATGAAACAATTCTTCCGTTTTATTCAAACTAATTAACCACTTTGCCAGCTTCGGGAAAATAAAGCACGTACATTATAAACTAATATCCATTTTTGTTAAAATTAACTAATTATACATTCTTAGCCTTAAGTGGCAACTAATTTTAATTTTCCACAAAGTGTATGAATTATTTATCAAAACAGTAAAATGGCTTACGTCATTTCATGGATACGTTTTATCTGAAAATGGGTGAACGGAAATTATAAAGATATTGAGTAACAGCGAAGCACCTGAGGCATTTTCACGTCCGCGTCGTTCGGTCACTATAACAGCTTCAAATATCAGCCAATAGAGGTTTTTCATTTCCGTGCCTACGTCACTGATCCGGGACCTATTTCAGTACACCAATCTTCTAAACATGGCAATACACAGTAAAGTAGGAAAACGAGAAAATCATTTACCAAAGAACTGTCCATTTTCTGTTTGCGCTATTTGCGTAAACGATTTAGTAAAACATTAGTTTGTACTATGTCAACATGGAAACTGGTGTTATTTTAAGACGTTCGACGCGTTTCCTCAAATAGTCACAAATGTATGCAGTTGAATTTGGATTTTGGTGTAGAGATGAGTGTAGGCAGGGTAGAGAGTAGCGATGTTAAGTCGGATGGAGCGAGTTAATTAACGTTTATGCGGAGTCATCAAACAGGCGTGAGCGCGCAGCGCAGCGCAGCCTTCGGGACAGGCTCAGGAGCGCGACTTCGCTCCGCCGCTTTTAATTAAACGGTGGTACCGCCACCGCGGTGCTAAGAAGTCATCTACAATCCACTTACCAGCACACCAACCCCCGACTACCCTTTTCTATACATTTAATCAAAAATAATTCAATTGTACACAGAAGTTGTGATAATAATTCAAGCCTGAAACAATCTGATGCATACGCCGAAGAACTCGGAAACTACATAGAATTGATACGATTTGTTTCGTTTTAATGAGTTTTAATAAATCTCCGAACGTATGCATATCTTTTGGTGTAAATTCAATTTTTACTTGTTTGGGTACTTAAGTGTTTAAAATTAACATAGAAAACGTCTCAATTCGTATTAGATGACGTGTTCAAAACTATTGTTTTGTACTGAAACTCCTATTATTTATCTACAAATCTTTCCAAAAGCATTAATAACATTAGCTATATAATACGAGTATAATGATTAAGTTACAGATTTAAAATTTATTGGTATATACGCGATTCATTATCGATGTATAACGTAGCACCATATTATATCTAATTTAATTGGTAATATAAACACTATCCAATTAGCTCACTGTATCATCTTCTGAAAAACGCGACTAGACAATATCTAGATAACCGAAGTGTAATTGTTCATCTAGCTGCAAGAGTAGATGAAAAAAAAACAATCAATAAATCACATGTGATGCGTCCGTGCTCCTAGCGGGGTTAGCCAATTAGACCGTCGCGCTTCAAGGAAGCTAACCAGTTTCTAAATTCTTCGTATATTTAATTTAGCTTAATTGGTGTGTGGATACACGGCGGCAGGCAGTCGACCGAGAATTGGAGCCTCTTTGTTGGCGAAATCGCGTTTAAAACGGTACCCCCGCGAATTACACATCGTGCGCACTCTCTTCTTATCACTTAAGTGGTATTGTTCTGCTCGTATAAACGATTCGTTTTCCCGACGTTCCTTCAAGGTCGACTTAATCGGAAGTCGGAATTTAGTTTTTGGAACGGTCGTTGCCTCGACGAACCTCTAAACAAATTGCATTTGTACGAAACGGTCGTGGGAGGCGAACTCATTTTTGTCTTAATTTAATTCTAAATTAATTCTTTGTGTTGTTTTTAATAAAAAAATAAGTAAATTTGGAACTGCCAAATCTTTTATTTATGTTAAAACTGATTTGTTGCGTGATTCAGCCTACCTATATGAATGGATTATTCTAAGGATGATGTCAACCGTATGTTTAAATATGATAAATATTGTCTTTATGAAGTCACAAAAGGAAAGGACAATCGCGTTTGTGGGTGCTCAAACGGTGATGATGTGAATGGTACAGGAAACTCGGCGCGTGCGCGGTAAACTGATGTAGAGATGAGCAGTGTGGGCGCACCCCCACTAATTTGTTATTGTCCAACAATTGCCTTCTCGGCTCTAAGTAACATTCAACGACATACATTTTTAAAAGTAACGGCATCGTATGATTTAGAATACTAATTAGTCTCACCATTCTTTTCGCTCACAGCGTTAATACTTTTATGGAAGTAACGCGGCGCCGACGGCCGGCATGCCAAGCTAATAAACATTGTTCTCGTAACGTTCTCCAGTATCTGCACAAGGAGAGAGGTGCGGTGTACGATTACACGTGCGGCGATTGGTAACCGCGTTGTTGGTATGTGTTCATGTACAATCTACTTATATTTTATATGTGTGAGGCTGAGAACTGCGTTCGGCGTGGGACGGGGCAGTGCATTTTTTGCGAACACGAGATGAACGGCAGGCCGTTGAACTCCGCCGCTTGTCTCGGCACCAAATTTTGCCAACGGAGCGCATCTTTCAGTATCTTTACTCAGCTGCAATTTTATTGAACTACAGATACAGCTCCTTCGCTAAATACGCTACATTACTTAGCTAAATATGTTCTATTTACATTGTTTAACGCTAATTTATCTGAGAATGAACAATATAGTTTACGGTTATTATAAAAATGAATAAAGGCTTTGTGTAGGTGCGACCGCGATGGTAAATAACACTTCGGTCGCGTGTCAGCATTGGACGACGACGGCTTGCCGGCTCCGGCACGCATTGTGAGCAGGCGGGCGGCACGACGAAACAGCTGTCGGTATCATTGCTCACTCATTAGACGGTAAAAAAATTGTTCAAAAACAAGTAATTAGCACAGTGGTGCCGTGCTTACTTCCCGTCTTTCATTCGAGAAGAATGTATGACCGACGCGTGCTTTCTTACTTTATGAAGCGCAATAAGCTAGCGACTAGGCGAAGTATAAAGAAACCAACCGCCACCAGCCAAGATAATGTGCAATAAAAATTCAGAACGGTGCTCTCCTACGCGATATAGGGTACTGATACGGTTTTGATGCTGCTCCTACTACCAACTAATTGCATGCTCAAGTCAACGTATAAGTGTGATTAACTCATTACGTTTATTAACACTAAAACGTTGAGTTGAACGATTTCCAGTAAAATACGTATTATCTAAATGCGTGTATATTGAAGGATTCATTGATTAATCCAATATTGGAGTATTTGCGGCTCAGACACATTCAAAGTTGCAAAACAAACACGCTGGATGGGACGACATTCAAGCGGTTCGGCAAGTTCAGATCGAGAAGTTAGGTACTTGGTTTATTCAGAACTTATTTGAAAATACGACCGTCTTTAAAGTAGATTTGGAGGTAACAATAAGTTGGCCTTGTTTCGGACATTGACCATGATTTTTACAACAAATGATTTGCAGCTCTGCATTATTAAGATGATAGCCTAGCCAGCCAGGTAAAAAATGACTGGATATTTCGAGTCAAACGACTATAAGAAGCGTATAAACGAGCTTTTAGACGTCACGCTTGGTGGCGTGCGCGCTACAAAAACTAGCACACGTCGCATTCGTGACTGCCGCCGCCTGTGCACAGCGCCCGCTCTGCTGCACGCCCGTGCCTGTCGCTTCGCCTTGCCTTGCCTCAGTTGCTTCGTCATTCCCAGCCATCAAACGAACAGGCCTACTGACTTCTTTTAGTTTAGAACAATGCTGCTGTATTTCTCATTTCATTGAAGTTATTTTTTTTTCTTTTAC